CTGCGTGACGGGAGGATTTGGATGACTGGATTAGCGGGTGCTATTTCCATCTGCAATTTTGCCGCTAACATCCTGCCCAGGAAAATGGCAGGTGACGGCACATGTAGCGGTGCCAAAATATTTGTGAGCGGACGATGTTGAATCCCTCAACCTTCACACTCACCGATCCTAACCAGCTTGTTTTGAGGTCAGGTTAAATCTCCTTTAAGTTTACTGGGGCCAGCATATAATAAACTTCCGTCTTAGATTTTCAGTTATGGACTAGTGTTTAGATAAATTAGCTCTTTGAATGCATAGAAAAGGAGTGTTTTGTCTGCACATATAATCCTTGAATGGGTCTAAAGACATTGGAGGTTGTAATTGCTACATGCAAGCATTGAAGCTGAGCACAACTGTGCACAAACACTGGGAGATTTTTCGTTAGTGATGCAACAATATGAGGTGCTACAGTAGGGAACAGTCTGGAACAGTGAGGAAGCTTCCACTGCAGACAGTATAAACAGTGACTGGAGATGCGAATAACTGCCATAGCTGAGATTATTAAGAAGCTCTGGATGGCATCTGGAATTGGGAGGGATCAACCAATCAGACAATTCACAGATGTACTGGTATATTTATAGAGTACATAACATGATCTACAGTTCAAGTCAGAATTATTCGCCCCCCTGTTTATATTTTTCTCCAATTTCTGTTTAACGGAGAGAAGATTTTCTCAACACATTTCTAAACACAATAGTTTTAATAACTCATCTCTAATTACTGATTTATTTTATCTTTGCCATGATGTTAGTGAATAATATATTACTACATATTTTTAAGACACTTCTATACAGCTTAAAGTGACATTTAAAGGCTTAAATAGGTTAATTAGGTTAACTAAGCAGGTTAGGGTAATGTCTGTCTGTCTGTCTGTCTGTCCTTCTATCTATCTATCCATCTATCCATCCATCCATTCATCCATCTATGTAATGGATATTGGAAAAATCCAACATTGCAATATTTTTTTTATTCTGCAACAGATATTGTGATATGAATACAATTTCACCAGATGTGTTGAATAATTTTTTGGAAAGAATTAATATTTTTAGATTAATTGGGATGATTCTGTGGGGGAGTGTATATGCATAAAATATATATATACAAATTCAATAAAAAATTTATAAAAATTATATAAGCAAATTATTGTTAATATACAGTAACTGAATAATCAAATGTTAAATATTACTGCATATTCTTCATTTTATAAACAACTCAATAGAATTTATGTTGTTAATTTGTCAAGTTACACATCAATTTCTTATGCATGACATTTTAAAACTCTCCCAGTCACAGGCCACAAAACACTTTTAAAATGATGAATTAAACTAGAGACTCAACACAGCGTATACTCACAGTGTGACTATTCCGAATGATCACATTGTGAATGGAGAATGCTGCTCACGTCTAATCTCCAAAAATCCTCCAAATAATTTCAAATAATTTTATTTTTTATTTATTAATTATCAAAAGTGTTCTCAAGAGATTTAGGAACTTATTAAGCATTGATAATGCCAAAAAACTTGAAAAAAGAAAGCAAGTTACAAGAAGAGGTCGACGATAACCACGGCAAACTACCCACACAGAGGAGCTGAGGCAAGCTTCACAACAATCAAGACATTATGGATGCTATAGAAGCCTTTAATGCCTCTGTTAGTCAAAAAATCGACGCCTCTACACAAACGATTGCAGAATTGCGTACAGCAATGACAACTATCACAGAAAAATCGAGTCGATTGAAGAGGCTTGCACAGACTACAAGGTATGCCTGTCAGCAGTACCAAAGCAGTGTGTGGAATTAGTGGACGAATGCAAACGGCTCAGAGAAAAAAAAGTGATGATCTCGAATCCCACTCCAGGCGGAATAACATTTGACTTGTGGGAAATTGCTAAAAAGAAAGAAAGCGGTAGACCTACTGAATTCATCTCGGAACTACTTCTAAAATTGCTGGGCCCAGAAAACTTCATCAAACTATATAAAAAGGAAAAAAAGTGCCATGGACCACCAAATATGATCATCAATAAAGTTTTTTTATGTATAGACCTTATTTATACTATGAAATTTAGCATTATAAATATGCCTATAATATAACTTTTGAAAATATTTATTTTTACTCATTATACAGTATGTCTCTTATCTAGTGTTGCGTTATTATTATTAAATGCTAGATTTATTTCCTTATCCGAATCAAATGTGTATTTTTATGTTTTGAGGACTGTCATGTTTATATTGTATTCTGATTAGCACTCTATCTATTCTAAACACTTGAAAGAATTCAAAATAGAATTGCTGTGTCCCTAATCATGGTATTTAACATAGTAGTTACTGTGTTAAGATCACCTTTCCATGCCTTCAATGTATTTACTCATTTATTCTGTTGGTTATTGATTATGCTCACCTGTGTCTTGCTTAGTTTCTCATAATCCTGTGAATTTTTTTTTCTATTTCTTTTTTCTTTTTGCCATGGTGTCTATGCTTTTGTCTATGCCTCAGTGCTGTCAGTACATGTTGGATTACCGTCATTTACAGTATACTGTTATGGTCTTCTTTCCAGGGGTCTTTGAATAGTCATGTTTCACTATAAGCCATATACCAACACAGCATCCGTGACATGCAGACATTGTGTGAGCGGAAATTCTTACAACAAATATCACGCAGGCTTTAGGATTAAGATGGTCCTGTGTCTAATACCGTTATCAAAGCACTTTTCTTACCACCAGCATCTTTGATAGGTTTAATTCTGGCTGATGTTCTAGGTATACATATTCACATGAACTATGAATCATATGATGACATGTCCTTGACCCTTCCCATCCATCTCTCTCTTACCTATTTATTGACAACGTCTCAACATCCCTCTCTTTTCTGTTTCACCAGCTGTACTTGAGTATCAGGCTGTACAGGCTGACATTAATGGGACATACCTCTTCTGTCTGGCTCTTGTACTCCAATAAGCCTGGCTATTTTCAGACGCAGAAGATATTTGTTCACGAGAAAAGTAAACAGACTAAACCTTTGCTTGATTTTAGTGCGTAATGAGCAATGAATATTGCAGTCTGGACTTCATCCAGAAAAGCCTCAGCCAACAAAATCCAGAGGAACGTGTTATGCCTTGCAGAACATTTCCATGTTATTTCTAAAACACTCAAAACAGGAAGAATATCCAAGAAAATGTTTCCAAACATTCAGGAGCAAGACAAAAAAAAAAACGAATGAATATGATTAAATGAACATTTCAAGTTCTAGGAGGTGAAAAATCTACATTTTAGTTCCCACAAAAATAAAAATAAAGCAATGAGAGAATATAGAAAGACTCATCTGTCAGTCAGAAACAATTCATTTGGAAATGGAACGTTTGATTTAACTGAATTAAACATATTAAGTCTTATTAATAAACCAGAATTGATTGAACTGATTAACAAATTCATCTTATTAAAATCTTGCCAATGATTTAGAATCATTTAGGTCTAAGGGCCCAATCATACATCCAACGCAATTAGGCACAATACGAGTTTGAAGTGATTTTCAGACCAGCACAACCCTAATTTTCATGTCTTGCACCACGTTGTTTAAATATCAAATCCATTTGTGCCACTTTGTGGACTCATGTGTGTTCCAGTCTCAAAAGAAGGTGTGTTAAGGCGCATTGTTGGTGCGTTGCTAAAAGCTGGTCTAAAATCCAGTGCACAATATGTACTGTAAGTTGTGCGCCTATGCAGGTCCAAATGCTTACATGTTGCTTAATATACACAGGATATACAGCAACACATAAATATCTTTACATATGACAAAAATTAAAAGATTAAAATATTTAAAAAAAAATATTATTTTCTACATAAACAAAAAATCCACTGCCTTCTACATATTGGAGGGCTTTTTTCAGTTTATTCATGACAATTGGCATTTGTATAATTTGTATTTGTATTTATTATATGCATATTTATATTTGTTTTAATAAAAAACAAGTTTAGATTTGTCCATCTGTCGGGTTTTGGAGACGTATACATCACCATGTGGGGCATAAGAATAAGACTTGTGTTTGGATATAACAATTTTTTTGACCACACGTCATTATTATTGATTGTTTATTAGTTTGTTGAAAATTAGAACTGAATTTAGAAATAGTTTTGAAACAAATCTTTGAGCTTAACAAACAAAATTAAATATATAGGCTAATGAAAGTCTTTAGTGGAGTGCGTACAACACCGTTTCCTTATTCACGAAAGTAAAAGAGTAAAGTAAAGGGTAAAAGTAAAGTAAAGAGAAAGTAAAGAAGCCAAATGGAGGAGGCTCATCCTTTATCCTCTGACAAATGGTCTGTTTAACTGTTTTTGCACTTACAACATCCTCCATGTAAATAGCAAATGCGCCATGGTGTGAAGCAACTGACTCACTGACTCAACTGACTCAAAGGGAATGTGAGATGATACTCACTGGTTTAATGCAAGTTATGCTCAAAACGCACACATAACTCATTAGAATAAGCACAACCCTGTTAGACCATGCACCAAATGAATCTTAATAAATCTTGCTAATGAATCAGAATTATTTCATTCATTGGGTTTAAGTTTTATCTAATTCAAAAACATTAACAAACATTACTCATCTTTGCTGATGAATTTTAATCCTTCAAAGAACAGTTTAAACTAGGCTAGGAGGAAAAATTCTGCCGAACTTTTACCTATTAAGCAGAATAAATTATTAAACTGATTCACAGAATGAAACAATCTAACCAAATCTTGTCAATTAAGCAGAACTGTACAAATTAAACTGCCAGAATGAACTGATAAACAGAAACTATTCAAATTTACCAACTCTTGCCAATGAGTCAGAATTGACTCAATCAAAATGGAGTTTCAACTAATTCATCGAAAATAATCAGTTGTACCAACTTATGTAACTGCTATCAGAGACCTATTAAAGCAAGCATACTGTCCCAGTCATTGAGCCCAGTGTTACTGACCTGGAGGTCCAAAAAGCACAGTGTCCAGAGCCTTCAGCTGCAGTTTCTGTGCATGACTGCGGTCTGGTATCTTTAGCACAGACACAAGTAGGGTAGCATTTTTTACTGCAAGTCTGTGAATGTCATATTAAAAACCTTAATCAGTGAATTAACATTCAACAGGCAAAAATAAGTGTTCCTATACAAACAAAATCTACAGAAAACACATTTAAATGTGCTGTCAATATAGTAATTCATTATAAGCAGAGCACATGATAGCAAATTCAAAAGCTAAAATAAAATGCTCACACAAAAAAGGTAATTTCAGTGTCCTGTGTACTGATAGCTACTCGCTGATGTGCAAATTATCAATATAATCTATTTTAGTTTGCTGGTATATTTTGGTTACTTTTTGTGTATATATATATATATATATATATATATATATATATATATATAGAACTTGAATTACCTGATTAAGTTTATACTCGTATTATTATAAATTATATCATTTAAATTGGATCAAAACCTTTCATCAAAGATGTCCAAAATATATGAACCAACACTCATTCATGTTTTACGCCTGTTTCAAACTGCAAGCGCAAGCAGAGCATGAGCAGCGCGTGCACAGCGCGTATGGAGAGCAGAAGCAGCGCGCAGGCATTTGCCTTTTACACCAACTGCGTCTGCAGCGCGCAGCTCATCATCAGCTGCTGCACAAATCAGTCTATCTCTGTCTGTTCCATCTAGTTACCTATATATCTTCAAATGCAATTTTTTTTTTTTACTTTTCATTTTCCCCAAGGCCCGCAGCAACTTCCTCCTATGCTGTTTCCTTAACCTGCAAGTCTTTATTTTACAAATTATATAGATCCTAAAGAGCTGTATACTTCTCAAGCTCTGAGGAGTGTCATTCGTGTCTTTTCAGGTGCACTTGGTCTGAAGACTGTGATATCATGTAATTTTGTTTTTGATTGTCAGGATGATGTAGTCCTATAGTTATAATAATGTTTATGCAATATAGTTATAATGATATTTATGCAATATAGTTATAATGATATTTATACATAATCAAACTAGTGTGCAAATCTAATACTAAAATTTTATTTAATTTGGTTTCGCAGTTCAGGCCCAAATAAATATTAGTTGCCATTTTTAATCGTTTAAATTCATTTAAAAAAATGTATGAATATCTATAGATATTATAGATCCATGTATTGGGTAAAATAGCTTTTTACTGTCATTCAATGTGTTTTGGTCATTTTCAATGCACTGTCACTTTAATTGAGCTTGAGCAGCGCAGTAAAAATAGACCCAGAGCCGAAACTATCGTTCCACTGCTTGTTCAGTGACGGTCATGCCTCGCTGACACGCTGCTTCTGCATGCAGTATGAAAGCTCTAATCTGTTAATATTGATGCCGACAAAAACATGCGCTGCTCACACTTGCAGTGTAACACAGGCGTTAGAATGATTTTAAAAATCTATGTAAAATAGATAAAATAATAAAATAAATAAGTAAAGCCAGTTTTAGGTTGTCTGGTTTGCTTGGAACAATTTTTTTTTTGCAAAGATTTCAAGTAACTTTTTCACAAGCATATTTATGTACATTTCATAATATTACAGTTTTCAGTTTGTGGTCTGCCCCTAAAAAACACTATTCACAAGCGTTCTTACCTAGGCAAATCTTTGCCACTGATGACGTTCTTTCTGAAGGAATCAACATACTGCGGTAACTCCACAAAACTGGTGAGCCACTCCTCTGCTTCTTCCACTGTCCAGTTATAAACTGTATAGACCATTATAAAAAAAAAAAAAAAATCATATTGGATGCTAATGCTTTAGTGAGGAAGAAAACACTCAGAAGAAAAAACTAAAAGTTATATTTGCCCAAACATTCACTACCTGACAAAAGTCTATCCAAGTTTTAGAAACAACAAATAATAACTTGACTTCTAGTTGATCTGAACCCCAAACCATGATTCTACCTTCACCAAACTTGACTGATTTCTATGAGAATGTTGGGTCTATGCGGGTTCCAACAGGTCTTCTGCAGTATTTGTAATGATTGGGACGCTGTTATGTTCTGCCACTTTTCCAAATGATCAACTAAAAGTCAAGTTATTATTTGTTGCTCTTACAACTGGGATTGACAACAAGACTTTTGTCAGGTAGTGTATTGCTTTCAGATTAACATGCATGTAAATTGATGTGGTTACTATGAAATTGCTCTAAACTGGTTTATAGCTGTATGGTTTGTATAAAATAATTAGTTCACACCTTCAGAGGCCTTCCAGGAGTTCCACATGTCCTCCACTGTGATCAGCAGATCTGCTCTGTGGAAACTGTTGTGTTTTCCTTTAGGGTCGTGGTACTTTAGGTCTTCCCTTAGGAACTGAGAAAACAAAGATTAGGTTTTAGCATCTGGTGAAGTGGTTCTCATTGATAAGGTATTTATGGCAAGACACTGCAGTTAAAAAAATGTTTTTATGCAACTGAATATTTTCAGATTTTTAGATTTAGACTTTTTGCTTTTCTGTGATTTATTTTTTCCGTCTGATGGAAAGAAAATATCGTAAATACAATTAATAATTTAACTAATTTAATTTGAATTTTAATTTGTGCCTGTAGGTTTTAATTACAATAAATATTTTTGTATACATTTATTACATAGATCTCTAAAAATTTTTTTGCAAATGATTACAGCTCAGATCAATATTTTGTCTCTAATTGTTAAGTTTTATGGCAAGTAACCATGTAATTAGCATGATAATCAGGTCTTGACATTAACACCCTCGCTTGCCTGCCAAATTCGGGTAGATTTCAGCTGTGGCAGGTTAGACAGACACCTCACTAGCCACTTCGCCTGGTTGAAAATATTTTTAAGTAGCCAAAGCTGCCTCGTCCCTAAAGATTAAAATTTAGTTTAAGAGTTCGTCAATATGCAGGCAAATGTGATCTTGGAACCAAGAAGCAGCATGATTGATGTTCGCACGAGCAAAAGAAAGCAAGATGAGAGTATGATCAGGTGCATGTGACACTCAGCGCAGGGCACAGCTGATGTGAAACGAATAAGTGCTTAAAAGCTCCCGTTTCCTTTCACAGAACAACCGTGCCTGGAAACGCAACTGGTGCGATCATTTATCTTTGAAATAGTTGAAGTAAAAATTATTAGCCCACCTTTGATTTTTAAATTTTTTTTTTTTTTATATTTCCTAAAGTTATTTACTTAGTTAAGCCTTTAAAAGTCACTTTAAGCTGTATAGAAGTGTCTTGAAAAATATCTAGTAAAAAATAAAACTTTCATCATAGCAAAGATAAAACAAATCAGTTATTAGAAATGAGTTATTAAAACTATTATGATCAGAAGTGTGTTAAAAAAAATCTTCTCCGTTAAACTGAAATTGGGGGAAAAAATAAACAGGGGTTTAAAACAGGGTTTAATATTTCAGGGGGGCTAATAATTCTGACTTCAACTGTAGATTGGAAAAAGCGGTGCTTGAGCACCCGCAGTCCTGCTGCTTCTAGCAAATCTCCAGATTTTTTTTTTAAGCAGCAGCGGTTGCCGTTTTCACTTTTACCACTCTTTGAACAGATTATTAATGGGCCTAATGTTAACCCTTTAACTATTTCACACAGAGGGCTCTATTTTGACGGTCCATGCGCAAAACGGAAAGCACGAGCGCAAACGCTTTCAGGGCGTGTCAGAGTCCATATTTGCTCATTTAAGGACAGGAAATTCCGCTTTGCACTGTGGCGCATGGTCTAAAAGGGTTGAGTTTATTTTCTCAATGAGTTATAGGTGTGTTTTGAGAATAAACCAATCAGAGTCTCATCTCCCATTACCTTTAAGAGCCAGCTGCGTCGCGCCATAAGCGAATTTGCCATTTACAGGACGTGGAAAAACTGAGCATTTCACAAGCAAACAGTTTACAGTTAACAGTTTTTTTTTAACAGAAAACAGTTAAACAGAGCATCTACCGCGCATAAATAAAAGATAATCGATCTACTTTCACTTTCGCTCTCGTGGATAGAGAAACTGTAACGAAGGGTCTGACACAGAGGGATCCATTTGAAGTTTATTTATTAAACAGAGTTTTAAAAAAAAATAACACACACAGATGTTGCTAGTGTGCGAACTCACATCAAACACAGTTGTATTAAGTCGATGGGCTGGCGACAGGCAACCACAGGGTGATAAAGCAGGCATGGATCAGAGGCAGGCGGCTAGGATCAAAGTCAGTATTCAAGCTGGGTTCAAGACAGGCGGCAGGCAAAACAAGGTCGATATACAGTCCAGGTAAGCAAAGGGGAAAGCAGGCAAGGAGTAGAACCGCTCAGTAGTGTTTGCAGGGGCAGAACAAGACTTCACAATGATGTGTGTGTGTGAGCTGCTTATATGTGTGTGTGTGGTGATCAAGGGAATGTGCTGCAGGTGTGTGGCAATCAGTGTCTGAGCATGACGTAATGTCAGTAGTCCGGTGATGATGACTTCTGCTGGTCAGCGTGGGGAATGACTGGGAGCGAGTCGGTGACAGAAACCTTTAGCACAGACATCAGTTAGCCAATAAATAATTAATCTCCCGAGATGAAGAAGGCAAAAAAACAAAAAAACAGTGGTTTTTCATATTTATGTAGACTAGAAAATAATATGTTTTGTAATATTTTAATCTATTATATTTATATCCTATATATATATATATATATATATATATATATATATATATATATATATATATATATATATATATATATATATATATATATATATATATATATATATATACATACTTATTATATTCTATATATAGGCCTATCCTTAATATTTTAAATTTTTACATATGTAAAGATATTTGCGTATTGCTCTACATCTTGTGTGTAGGCTATTAAGAAGTGCGTAAGCGAGTCGCAACTCTGCGCTGGAGTTTAGACCGGGTTTGTTTTGGTCTAATGAAAAAATCTATTATAGTTTCTCAAAATAGCAACGTGCCAACAGTGCGCCTCAGAACGCCTTCCTTTTTAGATCAGAACGCCTATGGGCACACATATGAGCACTAATGCATTTGCTATTTAAAGAGCGTGGCGCAACACCTCAAAACGACTCTTGTGCCAAGCTGAAACTAGCAAACAAGTATTGCACCGCGCCTTGCGCCACATTGCGCCGGTGTATGATAGGGCCCAGAATGTTTTTCACCTGCTTTCTTTTGCTTGCAGTTATTTTTGTTAATATGTTTTCTTTTAAGAACATTTTTGTTGATTGAAAAGTGTATACACACAGCTATATTTTGCTTGTTTTGACACATTTTTAAAAAATTCTGTCAAGGAAATAATTAGTTTGGTGTGGCTAGGGAAAAAAAGCTAAATCCTTAGTGTTGAGTCCTAAAAAGTCATGTGAAATAAAAAAGTTAAGGAGGCATGTAGACATAACACATCATTTAAATCAAGTAATTTTACAATGACAACATCAAATTTATGCAAATATATTTTCCCAACAACAAAATTGTGGCTGGTGAAAATGGCGTTGGCCATTAATGTTGGAAAACTACTAGCCATAGTAGCTAGTGATCAAAAAAGTTAATATCAAGGCCTAATAATAATAATGATGATCTAGTCAGTTAAAATAGTAATAATAACATAACTTCAGCATAGATTTATGTATATACACCAAACCTTATAATTTTATATGTATATTGTTGAAGGCCTTTACTTTATTGTTTATACAAGATTTGTATGATTATATACAGTTTATTTCTTTTTTATTATTTCTGGGAGTTTACCGTATTTTCTAAAGTTATAAATAGATAGACAAACTTCCTTCAGTATAAAGCTTATAATATATAAAGTATAAAGACTCTAATATGTGAAACAAAATGTAAACAATTTCAAATATATGTTCAAATACTTATGATATATATGTATTCAAATCAGTTTTGTACATTAAATAATGCCTCAATTGCATTTTTTACCTTTTAACACCAAAAGAATGTTAATCTTAATGTAATCAGTCAACTTTGAATGTATGGTTATAGCTACTATCTAACATTATAAGCCTATTCACCAAACATGCATAGCTACGCCTACAAAAATAAATAAGCACAAATTACTTTAAATGCTTAGAAAAAAAAAATAAACAGTGGCTTTTCAATTAAACAGTCGCACATAAGTCTAAACGTGGCTATTTTTGATTTCTAGAGGGAGTTTCTGTTTACAGCACTGTGTATTTGCATAATTCAGCTTTTTGCTTAAGCTGTAAAGCCAAAGTAAACAGTTGATTTGACATGTTCACCTACAGTATGTAAATGCAGACAGTTTGACCGGCTCACAATCCTCTGATCAGTGCTGACTGTGGTAAAGGTTATGCTCACAGAACTGTCTATGGCCTTGGTCAGCAGTGGTGCTGTTTACCCTGAGGCCTCAGATGTGGCATTCTCATGAAAAGGGAATCGCTTTGGGTGATTCAGAGAAAATATTGACTGCTTTTTATAGCAAAGTTCACAAACTGTAATTGTGAATCCCTTCTAAACACATGCAAAAGTGTTGTGCCTTTATAAAATGAAGGTGGCAGCAGATGCAGAGAAGAATTTCCTTTAAACTGGCATATACAGGGGTTGGACTATGAAACTGAAATGCCTGGTTTTAGACCACAATGACTCATTAGCATGGTGAAGGGCCTCCTTTTGCTACCAATACAGCATCAAATTTGTCTTTGGAATGACCGATACAAGTCCTGCACAGTGGCCAGAGGGATTTTAAGCCATTCTTCTAGCAGAATAGTAGCCAGGTCACTACCTGATGCTGGTGACGAAAACGTTTCCTGACTCGCTCCTCCAAAACACACCAAAGAGGCTCAATAATATTTAGCTCTGGTGACTGGGCAGGCCATGGAAGAAGTTCAACTTTAATTCATCTTCATCTTTCATTTTATTATTGCACTCTTTTTCTGTTATTGTAAGCTCATTATTATACACTTAGTTGATGATTGTTTATAAAGATTGTTTGGCATGATATCCCGGGAGAGAGCCCTGAGGTCAAAAGATCCTAGAGCCCGGGGCTCCCTCCCATTTGCACAGCGAGAGGGCAGTTTGAGCTCAGGTAGATCTCGAGAGCTCCCCTGCTGTAGTAGCTAATGAACAGATAGTGATTGCTCTTAAGAAATAGCTACTTACTAGAAGCATGTCTATAGTGCCAATTTTTGATCTGATTAATCAATTAACTTAAGTGGCATGTTTTTGGACGGTGGGAGGAAACCAGGGAACCCGGAGGGAAACCCATGTGAGCACTGGGAGAACGTGTAAACTCCACACAGAACGTCAGCTGGCTTGGTAAGGACTAGAACCAGTGACGTTTTTGCTGTGAGACAACAGTGCTAACCACTGGGCCACCGTGCCACCCATCTAGATAAGGAGAAGGAGTAGAGAGCAAGGGTGGAAGGGGGATTCTTCAAAACGAAGATGGCTGTCATATGGAACTTAGGGTATTTATAGTGGCTTAGGAATCGTCTGATTGGTGAATCATAAATTGAATAGTGTTACTGGAGAATGAGTCATTAGCCCACACTGTACCGTCCCTACTCTTCTCAACGAGCTGCGGGTGATGCTGCCGGGCCCTCCACTGCCTCAGAGCACTGACAGGTGGCCCAGTCCCCCTACAGCAGTCTCTCCCACCTGCAGCCTGAGAGCAGATCACCCCTCTGCGTACCGACGGCAAATTATTTAGCACCGGCTGTGTGAAGGTATTTCCTTTGTTCCAGTCAAACCGATCTGCTTCTCCTTTATTTTAACAATTTAAGTGAAGTTTATTCATAAACTAATTTCGAGAGGATCACGTGCTTATGATTGACACGGCTGGCCCCGAGTCAAGCTAATGAATGAACCACCAATCAGGCTATTCCTAACCCAGTATAAATAACCAAACATCCTACCTTTAGTCATCTTCGTTTTGAAGAATCCCCCCTTCCACCCCTTCTCTTCCTCTTTTCTACAGGGCAGCACGGCGGCCCAGTGGCTAGCACTGCGGCCTCACAGCAAAAAATGCCTCCGACTCGGGTATCCACCCAACCGGTCAGCATTTTCGTGCGGAGTTCATGTTCTCCCCGTGCTTGCGTGGGTTTTCCCCGGGTCCTCCGGTTTCCTCCCACATCCCCAAAAACATGAGACTAAGTAAATTGACTAAACCAAATTAGCACCAAATTCAATTCTGTCAGCAACACTTCACCTTAGCAATCCTTACGCAGCAGGGGGGGGGGGGGGGGTGTCCTCGAGATCTACCCGAGTCAAACTCCCCTCTCGCCCTGCAACGGAAGGGAGCTCCGGGCTTGAGGATCTTTTGAGCTTGGGGCTCTCTCCCGGGTCAGCATGCCAAACTAGCTTATTACCAATCATCAGCTAAGTGTGAACTCTTGAATTTGACCGTTTATTCTTTTCTTGTTCACAATCACAGATATTTTTGAGACAATTTCAGAACTTGTCTGAGTTTATTACGTCTGAGAGGTTACTGCAACATCACTACACATCTGCAATGATTTACAGTATTCAGACAGCTGTAAATTTAGTTATATTGACATGCTTACATAAAGCGTAGTGCAAATATAAATACCCCTTTATTGACCACAGACTGTTAAACAAGCAAACAGTAGAACGTGATGACGTCAGTAATATGCAAATTAACGTATGATGTAATTTAGCAACTTTTTGGGCAGGGCTTAGCACCTTTTCACTGAAAATAGTTGGCAACAGTGCCTATGAAGTGGCCAGTTCTGAGCACTTAGGTTTGAAACGATATGTCAATATGCCGATCAATTTTGTTTTCACTCAAAAATGCTTTTCAGGGGGTGATAAATCCCATTTGGAATGTCTACTTTTGAGGTGCATTTTTGGGTGAATTTTGTGCCACCATCTAGACTGGAGTGAACCAATTTTGTTTCCTACTCCTGTTAAGCTAGTGGCACTAAATGCACCAAACGATGCAAAAGCTGAACAAACCCTTTACCCAAAGTAGCCTTAATTTAAAATAATACCAAATATCTTTAAAACAAGTTAGGTTTTTTCACAATAAAACACTTTTGTTTTTTTATCTCACCATGGAATGTAGTTTATCATGAAAAAAAAAATCACATGCTAAAGAAACTTGATTTCTGCTAATGTTGAGCAACACTCGAACCTGCTAGCCAATGTGCTGTACAAAATACTGCTTTACTGTTGAGTCAAGTACATATTTACATAAGCACGTCGACATATATTAAAGCAGCTTTACAGAGATCTATAGTCTCTAATGAGCGAGCCAAAAGCCGCTGTGTCCTTTTCAAGCAAGTAACTTTGCACTTGTTTGTACATTGGCCACCACACACTGTGAAGCACCTTTAGCAAACCAGAAAACCACAGTCCTCACCCCATCCGTCTCTGTCACGTCCACACTACCGTCTGCATCGTCGTCCATGTCTTTGTGAATGCTGCGGATGGCCTCAAAACTCAGCAGAGCATTTTCATCCTGGCAAAGAATCTCATCGATACCACACAGTTCTGAGAAGAGAAAACAAATATATGAGAAATGAGTCAGCGAGGTCACTTTAACTACACAAATACTCTTTTATAAGCATCAGGTGTGTATGACACTGTATATACTGTTAAAAAATCACTTTGAAATTCTTAGTTTCCCTGTATTTATTAAATATCCAGCTGTATATATGTTAAATTCTCCTTTTTGTACTGTCTTTACTGTTCCTAAGTGGAAATTTGTCTTTGGCTTCACCACACAACCACATCAACGTTCACATTACACATATCACAGAAAACAGGCAACACAAATACATTTAGGGCCCTATCATACACTCGGCGCAATGCGGCACAACGTAGTTGTTGTTTGCTTGTTTCAGCAGGACGCAAGAGTCATTTTGACGTTTTGCACCACGCTGTTTAAATAGCTAATGCATTTTCGCTCATATGTGTGCCCATAGGTGTTCTGGTCTAAAAAAGGAGGTGTGTTAAGGCGCATTGCTGGCGTGTTGCTGTTTTGAGGAACTAAAATAGACTGTACAATAGACCAGCAGAGAGGAGGTCTAAAGTCCAGCACAGAGCGCGTTAGTTGTGCGCCTCGCTTAAACATTGCCTAATACATAGAGGATCTACAGCAATACGCAAATATCTTTACAGATAAAAAATAATTAAAGGATTAAAATATTACAAAAAAATTTTTTTCTACATAAATAAAAAAAACACTGCTTTCCTGCCTTCTTCATCTCGGGAGGCTTTTTCAGGTTATTCATGACTACTTGCTTTTGTATAATGCTATTATTAGTAGTATTATTTAATCTATGCATGTTTATATTTGTTTTATTAAAAACACGTGTGTAAAGTTACTGAAGTTTGCCCTGCGCGCTTGCGTTTTTTTTTTAGGAACTTCTTTGGTTTGCTGAGTCAATCTTATTAATGCTATTATTCAAAAAAGGTAATGATTCACACTCAATTGCTTCGTACTGTTTTTTATTTTCTTTTACATTTTACGGGTGATTAAAAGACACAGACGTTTCGGCACAAAGCCTTCCTCAGTGTGACTGGGGAAGGCTTTGTGCCAAAACGTGATTAGTGAAGTTAGTTCAATCACTTTTTCCGTGGAAAAAGTCAACCAACAGGAACCAACCAACAGTATCTGAGGTTTCCACTTAAATTACTAAGTACAAGCATGAAGGCGAAAGACTGAAGCAGTATACTGACGCTGTGACACGTTACCTGATAGATTCAAAAGAGAGAGGAGTCATAAGAGACAAGATTACCTAAATATCACCTGTAACAACTATAGTGAGGCACAATCCAGCGGTACATCCTTGATAAACTGTCCGACGTGCACTGCTCTCTGGGGTTTTGTACTCAAAGCACCTGTTGATTGCCAGAAGCTCAATGCGCACATACAATGCAGCGCATGACAGAGTGTGTGTGTGTGGTCACATGATGTTGTGATGTCTATCAGCCATCGACTACTAATTTCATATTTATCCATCAAACCCCTGTAAAAACTCACAATCTTCAACAGTGCTGCAGTGTCTCTCTATGTGGCCGCTTTCGCTGCGTTCTATAATGAACTCATTAAATATGTGAACATTTCACATTACTTACACATGCCTACAAACCAAATTTATATGAAAGACACTTGTCAGATTTTATTTTAGAGAGCAGGCGAAAGGTTCAGCTGTGTCCTCTGTAGGCAAGGGACGATAACTGTGTTCAAGGTAACCGCGGTTTGGAAAAGTCAAGGTTTTAAAACCGTCAACATTTTCTGCTATACTGTTCCTAAGGTATGAGTAAGATTTTTTTTGTTAACATTTTTTTGTTTTGTTTTTAAGGACAACCGTATCTTCAGCAAAAAAGATCTCCAAAGATCCCGTTTCATATTGTAAAAAAAATCTGTTTTTGAAAGAAATTAAGACAGCAGAAGTCAATGATTCATTTGAATTATTTAGCTTGACATGTTTACTGCTCCAAAATATTTTAAATCTTTCCCAAATTAAAAAATATTGTGCACAAAGGGGGAAAGGTTTGTTTTTTTACCCATATATTTTAAAAATAGTTTATTTTAGAGCAGTAATCACAATACCGTGATCCCATGATATTTATATCCAAGGTTATCATACCGTCAGAATCTTTTACCGGCCCATACCTAGTCCTCTGTGTCATTTTCTGTCACATTCAGGCACAAACTGATACTGCTAACAGCTACTCTGACTGACATTATTTACACAGCGCATGCTTATAGGGGCGTGACGCTTTTCCTGGTGACGTGGAGCCGATCCGTGAATCACAGCATGTTATGTAACTGACCAATCAGAACATTTAGAGGGAGAACTTTTAGAAGAACTAGAAAATATGACAGTCAGTTTCATGTTAGCCGAGTAGCTGTGTATAATCAAAGTAAGATATATGAAAAAATAACATGATTTTCTACAAGTAAAGCATGAGCACAAATTGCTTCGCATCTTACAAACCCTTAAAAATACATTTTGGACCACCCCTTTAAGTCCAATTTATACTGCAGAAAACAAAACATCACAATGTCAAATTTTTCCAGCATCATGCAGCCCTTATTTAAATGATGATGTTTTCAAATCTAATGCAGAAATCTGTCTATTTAACAATTATTTAAATAGTAAGTTGAAAACACCCGTTGCACTCTATCACAGTATCAAACCGATAGCTTAGCAACATGCTAACATCAAATACTACCAAATTTAACAGCACAGCCCTCACTTTGTTGTGGAAGAACAGCTAATTAGCGCAGTCAAAACACAAAACGCAAAGCACATACATTTCAGCAAAATATATGCTGGGGACGCGCATCTATTATGATCAAACCTAAAAAGCCTTCCTCAAGAGCACATTAATGCCCGAGGCAACAAAAGGCCTATTCAAACACAAATGACCTTGAAATGAAAATGACTTTGAGTTTCAGTCCCTTCAGTGAAATCCATGCATAAGTTGGCCATTCATGAGGCCTACCTAAATCAAATTCAGACTCATTAAACTAACGTCTGTCATATCTGGCAAAAACACTGACCGCACTTATAGAGTTCGGAAATTAAGCATGGCTGAGGAACTGATTACTTAGCGATGATGTACAGCTAAAAACAGGGCCAACAGCGGTGCTTTTGTGAGGGTCCAGTGTTCGAGCCCATTGTAACGGGTGAGCTCAGTCTGAGGATGAGGGTAACATAGACACGTAAAAGCCATAGAGTGACTTTTAAACTATTTATAGAAGGAGACACGGCACAGCTGCTGAGGTATTGTGGATATTGCTGTGATAAGGGAGTGGGTGGAACTGGATGTCCTGGATTTAACCTTTGTCTCAGGATTAAAAAACTTTATTATGGAGCAGGTATTAATATAGGAAATCAATCATCACTGTGATATTAATGAGATTACGTTCTTTTAATTTAGGGTTAGCTGTCTTTGCACAATTATGGTTGGATGTAATTACAGTACCCTTATCCCATTTTAAAGCTGTTGTTGTTGTTTTTTTTTAGGTCTTAACTTTCATCGAAGGTCAAAAACACTTTCGTTTTATCATAATAAACAGTCTCTTTGCTTGAGTTCAAGGATTCAGACTCTCTAAACTCCTGTCTTCTAAATGCCTGCTCTACTCTCTTTGGTCAAATGGTGTTGTGTGATTGGTCGATCACTTACAGTGATGCACAGGACAGTGTTGCCCTAACTAAATAAGCATGTTTAATTTAATCTTTACAATTACTTCTACACTGCCTGACCAAAGTATTGTTGTCAATATTGTTGTAAGATCAACAATTAATAACTTGACTTCTAGTTGATCATTTGGAAAAGTGGCAGAAGGTATATTTTTCCAATCAATCATCTGTTAAATTGCATCCCAATCATCACAAATACAGCAGAAGACTTATTGGAACCCGCATGGACCCAAGATACTCACAGAAATCAGTCAAGTTTGGTGAAGGAAAAATCATGGTTTGGGTTTGCATTCAGTATGGTGGTGTGTGAGAGATCTGCAGAGTGTATGGCAACATCAACAGCCTTATGTGTCAAGATATTTGTGCAGCCCATTAAATTACAAACCACAGAATAGGGTAAATTCTTCAGCAAGATAGCGCTCTTTCGCTTACTTCAGCCTTCACATCAAAGTTCCTGAAAGCAATAAAGGTCAAGCTGCTCTACAATTGGCCAGCCCAGTCACAAAACATGAACATTATCAAGCATGTCTGGGGTAAAATGAAGGTGGAGGCATTTAGGACGGATCCAAAAAATCTTGATTAACTCTGGGAGTCCTGCAAGAATGTTTTCTTTGCCATTCCAGATGACTTTATTGATAATTTATTTGAGTCATTCCAGAGATGTATGGATGCAGTCCTCCAAGCTCCTGGGAGTCATACACAATATTAATTCTTTTTCCACTGCACCATGACTTTATATTCTATATTGTACAATATTTCTGTTAAGTGACAAGACTTTTGTCTAAGCAAAGTCAGATCTTACTGTCCTAATTAAATAATTCAGAAAATCAAGGCATTATCATCTTTTATTTTGGTCAAATAAGCGTAATTTAGATGTCTTTGCCTTTCATTTCAGCCACTTCTGATACCAAACGATCAACTGGAAGTCAAGATATTATTTGCTGTTCCTAAAACTTGGATAGGCAACAAGATTTTGTCAGATAATGCAAAGGTTATTTTTTTAAAAAAGTGTTTAATGCATAGTGACAAAATATTCAAACAGATCAAAAAAGGCATCACCACAATCAGTTAAAGGATTTGGTTTTTCAGCAGGGTTTTATTTATGAATACTAAATGTTTACCATTTCCAATATACAGTAATATAAAAGAAGAAGAAGAAGAAGAAGAAGAAGAAGAAGAAGAAGAAGAAGAAGAAGAAGAAGAATAAACTACATAATGCATTCAGTGATATAAAATGTATTTATTTTTTTGTATGGTTAAGGCAGATTTTGAGTTTAGAGATTGGGGTTGATATTGGGACTAATTTTGATAGGTCATTGGGCTGCTTTTGAT